CCCTCAAGAAAAGAAGAGGAATGTGGTTTGATTGCCATAGATTGTCTACCAACCTTGCACGTTTTCTCTTGGCTCAGAACAGTTAAGAGAATACAGCAGACAGAAAGGAGCCTGACAGACATGCAATCTTTTTTAATATCATTCATTCAGCAAAGAATGATTTAGAAAGAAAAAGGCTAGGTTTTACACTGCATGCTGACATCAGTTTCAAGAAAGCAGATGAATCTTGACATGATTAAGCCAATGTTTCAAAAGAGATTTTTATTTAATGTCCAGTTGGCATTTGGACTTTCTGATATGGGTTGAGATGATCATTCAAAAAAAGAAAATATCCCGGGCCCTGCCAGAGACTGCTACAAAATGGATAGGGGTTGAAGGGTGCAGCAGCAGAGAGCAGGCACTAGCAACAACAGTGGCCAGCGGGAGCCCAGGAAAGAGTTTGTGGGGGCAAGTGCCCATAGCAATACCCACACTCTGGACAGTGGTTTGCAAGGTGAGGATAAAAACATGCACAGCAGTTAAAGCATGCAGGAGTGAAGATTTGTACAGATTTCTCTCCTAGAGGGTAGTTCCCTCAGGTAAAGGCTCCGGAGATCCCACCAGTTTTCTCCCCTTGTCTGTCTGATGCCAAGTTGCATTACCGTTTCATAGAATCATAGAATCACAGAATGGTTTGGGTTGGAAGGGACCTTTGAAGGTCATCTAGTCCAAGCCCCCTGCAAAAAGCAGGGACATCTTCAACTACATCAGGTTGCTCAGAGCCCCGTCCAACCTGACCTTGAATGTTTCCAGGGATGGGGGCATCTACCACCTCTCTGGGCAACCTGTTCCGGTGCTTCACCACACTCATTGTAAAAAATTTCTTCCTTATATCTAGTCTAAAACTACCCTCTTTTAGTTTAAAACCATTGCCCCTTGTCCTATTACAACAGGCATGACTAAAAAGTTTGTCCCCATCTTTCTTCTAGGCTCCTTTTAAGAATTGAAAGGCTGCAATATGGTCTTCCCAGAGCCTTCTCTTCTCCAGGCTGAACAACCCCAACTCTCTCAGCCTGTCCTCATAGGAGCAGTGTTCCAGCCCTCTGATCATTTTTGTGGCCCCCCTCTGGACCCGCTCCAACAGGTCCATGTCTTTCATGTGCTGAGGACTCCAGAGCTGGACGCAGCACTCCAGGTGGGGCCTCACCAGAGCAGAGCAGAGGGGCAGGATCCCCTCCCTCGACCTGCTGGCCACGCTGCTTTTGATGCAGCCCAGGATACGGTTGGCTTTATGGGCTGCGAGCGCACATTGCTGGCTCATGTCCAGTTTTCACCCACCAGTACCCCCAAGTCCTTCTCCGCAGGGCTGCTCTCAATGTTTAATTGGATGAATTTGGTACGGAAGTATCAAAATATGGCAAGACAGTTTGAGGGACTGCAAACTGAAGTAGCAAATATTGTAAAGGAAATCTGCTCTCAGAAAAAATTGTTGATTGGGATAATGGAGTCTGGACCTGTGCTCTAAGCTCTCCTGGAGGTCTCTCAGCACCTAGCAGTGATGAACAAAACCCACTTTCCAGCTAAGTGACGAGTATGGCCACCTTGAACCACTGCTGTGATTTAAAGCAGCCAGAATGGCTTCTGCGCCTTACTCATGAATCCTTTTCAGAACTGCCCATCATTGAAGAGAAACAGAGAAAATGTCCCTGGTTTTAATTTTCACTCTGTGAACAAAGAGCCAAAGTGCAAATATGATGAGAACCAAATTGCCAGCATAAACCAGCAACTTCTCTTTTCATAACTGTCTTTTTTTTCTCACATTTCTATTGAAGTCATAAAATGCTATGGGTATTTCCTCATTTTTGCCCCCTTCCTTCCTGTCCCTACTCTGCAAAGGAGGTCAGTACTCACTGTAAAGCTGTGGATGATTTTGAAATTTTCATGCCACTCTCAGCCATCTCGATGGCCAGTTTTATCTCCATCTTTTTGTACAATGACACAATGCTGGATTTGGGCTGGTGTTCCCGAATTAAGATTTTCTTCAAATACTTGTTGTCAAACTTCTTAAATCTGCAAAAGAGATATCAAAATTGAAGTTTAAAAAAAAGAAATGTCATGGTCTACTGGTCCACAGAGATTGCAAAGCCCAACAGACAAAAGAAAGAAACAAGCTGCAATCAGAGCAAAAAAGAGGGCTGGGTGTGTGTTTGCATGTAACACTGCCTCGTTTGTCAGAAAAGAATATGGCCAGTCTCCACGCTTTTGTACAAACGTTGTATTCTAGTAAGGCATAACAGCAGCTGCTGCTCTTACAGTAATCCTGGCCTATTCAGCCAGCCACCAATGAGGTTCTAAATGGCCCAGCAGTTACAGTAGTTTGGGCCCATTATGTTGCTGATAATTTTGAATCCTGAATTAGAGCAGAGAAAATACATTTCTTTGTATTCTGAATAACAGAGAAATTGAATGGACCACAAAATACTATGTGCTCGCATGCTGCAGATTGTAAAATATCGCTAATGTGTGGCATAATTTGAACGTAAATGTGTGTGTGCGCTTTGGAACAGGTATGTGCTTTCAGGCAGACATTAGTAGAACAACAGCAGATCTTCTTATATGTTTCTTTCAAAGGAACAGTTTACCACAGCAAGGTAATGTGCTCCACAATGCTAGGAAAAGCACTACAGAGTTTGTACATTTTTTCTTAACAAAGGCTACTTTTTATACATTAATAGCTGAGATAGGTACACAAATGTTTCCACTGGGATTAGAGCTCTTTATGTTTTTCTATGTAACATAAAGCCTCCTGGATTGTCATCACTTAGGTAATTAATTCTGATATACATATGCTGAATGTCTTTAAAGCTATGTAGAAAAGTCTAGGGAATACCTTTTAATACAATCGTCTTCCATTAAATGTCTTCACATGTGGTGTGTTTTTTGAATCTGCCCCTGAACTGAAACACTACATTTATAGCTAGTTTGGACAAAATTCTCTTTTCATAGCTGTTGGGTAGATGTGAGATAAGGGGATAACATTTTCTCACAGATACGTGTAAATGCAGCTATTTCAACAGAATTACTGCTCCAACAGGGATTTGTTTAGTGTATTGACTGTACGGACAGTGGTGTGGTCCTAGCAGATATCCTAAAGCTACCTCTGTACTGTGAGATCCAAGAGGACATTTTAGCTTTTGGGTCCAGGTATGTGCCCTAGCATATTACATCATTACTCCTCACTGGGACAAGAACTGGATGCAAACCAGATGCCTTCTTCCTACTCCTAATTCCTGATTTCCATAGGGAGAAACCCAGTCATGAAAGGAGTTGCCACATGTCCCAGCAGACCCCCTTGGCTGGATTACTGGGGTCCAGTGCTGAAAGGTGGGGCAGAGGACTCCAGCACAGAAGTCTAGTCATAGCTAGAATAACTAGAGATGGCTTTTAGCCCACAGCATCATAATAAGATGTTTGTGGGAAAGGAAGATTAGTCTCTCCCCACACTTCCCTTCACATGCTGCAGTGGTGACCTACATGATCACAGGGCTCCCTTAGGGAAAAGGTAAAAGGAATGGCAGCTCAGAATGGCAGGTCTATCTCTTCTGGGAAGTGCCTAGGAGAGCTACAAAGCTTCACAAAATCACCTCATCTTGCTTAGAGAAGACACAACGCAGGTCCTCCGTTTCTGAGGGAAGATTAGCTTGAAAGTATCTGCTTATGCTACTGGATATTTAAATTCAACCATTCCCTTCAGTACTCTTATTTTAAATATTCCTGAATGCAAAGACCTGTAAGGACAGGTGACTAATTATTATTGAATCTGTACTCACCAACAAGGGATCATATTTGCTGTGGAGGCTTAGAGCAAAAGTCAGTGAAGCACTGACACTTTCATAGCTTCTGTTCTAAATCCAGACCTAAAGGAGCACTGCCATGGATCTAAGATTTATGCCAAAGCTATGTGCACAGGCTGATGTCTGCATGAGTTCCTGTGCTATGTTTTTCTTTCAGAAGGCTTATTTTCTGCTTGTTTGTGCAGAAGAAATTTAGCAGGCAATATATGAGTGCTGCACTCCCAAGAGATAATGGTTACCCAGGAGCTCACTTTTTAAAAAGAGATATTGAATGACCCCAATATTTTCATGCTATTTTAGCTTTATGGGGCGGAAGATTAATTTCTTATTCTATTTACCTATTGTATTTTACATGATTGATGGGTTATTTTATTATAGTAGGCTGCAATAAGAGGTGCTTACTTATCTCTCAGCTGATAATGACTCCAATGTCCACATATGTCTTCGATACCAGCCTTCAAGTGATCCATCAACTAGAGAAACAAATATGGAAAAAACTTAAGTGGCCATTATGAGAAAATAATGTCACCACAAATACGCAATTGTTGACAGGATTTTGAGATTTTTTAATTGGAGGGTGTGAGTTAATTCTGAAAGCATCTACATTTCTCTAAAAATCAAGGCAAAGATCCCACTGTGGCAGCACCTATGCTTGGCTGAAGTGGCAATATTTTGATGGAGGCGACAAGTCTGTCAGTCTGCTGTCATCTCACCATCACCCAGCGCCATATAGGAACAAGTAAAGGACTGTGTCCAATGGAAGATGATACTGAGCATCTAAATTGCCTGGTCCTCTTTGTCTACTGAGACCAAAACCTAAATTCTTGGTTCTGTCAATCAAGTCTCCCTTCTGCATGTGTGACCTCCCTCAGAGGGGCACAGGGCCAGGTACCGAACACCTTAACCTCTGCCTTGACCGACAAGTCCTCTGAGGAGTTTGCAAATTGTCATGAGACTGGTAAGTTCATCACTGCTAACTACTGGAATTTTCAGTCATCTTTTGTGTGTCTCTAGCATTATAGACAGACAGGAAAATGGCCAGTTCTTACGTACATATTGTTATAAGTGGTACTTTTAAGCATAAATTCCTTCCAGGGTTTAATGTAAAGGTTGAAATAGTAACAATTACATGCACTTCAAATTCAAATCAGTTGAGATGCTCTAATTTTGCTAATGTCTCTGCATGTGCTTAATTTTAAGGCACAGTGTTTCTGTTAATTTCAAATATATTCCCTATTGTGAAAGTGAAAGCATGTACATATATTTTGTATAGTGTTGTTAAGTCAGTTTGAGCAGATTTCTGTTATTTTATATAATGGTAGCTTGAGAGCTAAAGCAAATGTTTGAGAGGGAAAAACTTGAAACTAAATTTGCAGACCAATGGTTCAACTCATTTCAGTTCAATAAAACTTGATTAAAGACTTTTAAGGTGTCAGTGTGTCTAGAACCAGTCAAAAGATGGCAATAAAGGTAGCTGACAAATCTAACTGGCAAGGATGACAACTGCATTTTGTAAATGCTACCTTTATGTTTCTGTCCTCCCGTGGTCACAAGTATCAAGAAGTAAGGGCCCTGCTACATCATGACACTCATGGTATGATATTATAAAATGATAGTCACTATGAATATAAATGAGATATCATATTTTAGAAAATTATGCCTAGGGTTTCCTCCAAATTTTGTTAAAAGCTTTCAGTGTCCAAATCCACTGAATGCCAGTGCTACCAAATGCCTCCCTCCATCCAGCTTTTTTGGAAAACCCTTTCTCTTCTTCTTTTTAGGATACCAGCTATTGATATAAAAAACTTACTCGCACGTGAAGTTCTTCATTGATAGACTCCTTTTTGTTGGTCTTTTTAACATCTAGATATCTGACCAATGGTCCAATTGTGATTCCCTGCATTTGGAACAATGAGTTGAATTGTTAATTATCTTTTAGAAAAAACAGAAAGAAAGCAAAAGGATTTAATTTTAACCAATTAGAAAATCTGTGTCTTAGGTACAAGAATGATATATTACTTGTATGGAGAGCTACAGAAGAGGATTAAAACTCAAAAACTTTAAAAAAATTACACACCAGGGTTTTTTTAAGCAAGATTGTATTTATCAACATGTTGTAACTTTGTGAAGTAACTGACTCATTGCCAACCTTTTCTCAAAACAGCACTCACTTGAAAGGAAACGTCTTTGTGGTGTTCTTACGATCCTGAAACCTTTTATTTCAACATTTTCAGAATTAAATATTTTAGGATTTTTTTTTTCACTTAGAAACCATTTTCAGCTGTTCCCAATTCTTTACTGTGCTGCTACAGAATAACATTTTAAAAGGGGAAATATTAGAAAAATGGGCTTTTTTTCTGAAACATTCTGATGGAATCTAAGTGCCTAACCACAAGGGCATAGTGCCCCATTGGCACCCAAGAGTATCTGAGATATCGGTATGGGAAAATACAGAACATGGGATGCAAGAACTCCAGAATATCCAGTTTTTCCAGGTACAGCAGTGTAAGCCAGGTGGAATAACCCAAACATCTGTAGTAGACAACTATTCTTACAAATCTGAATTATTCACTTTATTTTTCTTTAATATTCTTTTACAAAGGATTTCAGAATGTCTCCAAGATGAATGGAGATGAAAGTAAAAAATTCAAAATCCTTCATAGAACAGACATATTGTTTTCTGTTCAGTTTGAGATACACCACTAGTAGAGAATGATTCTGTGCTGAGTGTAAAATTAAAATGCTCCTTAATTTGGAAGCATTAGGAAGCACGTGTGGAGTGAACATAAGAGATTTTGAACACAAAGTGCCCTTTTCCCTAAATATTTTAGAATACATGGGTTTTCAATATAGACTTTCTGAAAAAGTTATTTAATAATACTTAAAAAGCCCTGAAAGGTTAATTACACAGTGCAGTGCTAAATCTGGCCATTAAATACAATAGCTTCTCCTACTTTAAGAGTAAATTCAATGCAATCTTCACTATGAAGCTTTCAGTCACCTCTAGTACATGAAAGCAATCCATTAAGAAACACACTTACTTGGATGAACACAGTGAAATATATAACTACAAGAGTAGCAGTAATGAACAATTTTTTTCTTGGGTAGAGATGCACTGGAAGCAAGAATGCAAGAGAGAAGCTGCTGGCTCCTCGAAGGCCACTGTAGGAAATAATGAGTTGGTCTTTGAAGGTGAAGGGATATGTTCGGAACTTGTTACTGATGTAGAAGAGAGCAAAGACACCTAGGAAAGGAAAAACCACAACTATTATTAATCAAGGAGAAAAGGAAAATATTTAAAGCAAAACTACATCTTGGCTCAAGCAGCTGTTGACAGACCTTTCTTTTCAGTTTGGGGTTCTTGTAGCTTCTCTTTGACCAACTGCTGAATATGTTTTGTGTGAAATAATCTCCTAGAAAAGACCGTGGTTCCTACCTGCTTCAGGATTTAAACTCACTTATGCAGTTTAGAAGTGAGATGAGGGGAAAAGATTTACATTCTATATTTATGTTGCACAGTTCTTTTCCAAAGTGTTCTGGAGACAAGACAAACAACGGGGTGAGACTTTTTCCTGTGCCTTCCATTGCAATGTTTCATGCTTTCTGCACAGTATCTGTCCAAATTGTTTGAACAGTGCTTTACCAGCAAGTCCTGTGGACAGGTTCACTGAAAGGCAAAGAGTAATAGCATTTTAATTTTTAATCCTCTGGCTTATTGTGTCTCTAATTCTCTGTTTATTTCTCAAATTTAATTTTGCTTTTAATAAAAGTTAAAATTAATCAGACATCCTGTGGCTGTGTAAGGACTGCAGCTTTTCTTTACAGAGTACATTTAGCAATTTGCTTAATTTAATCTTTTTCATCTTCCATAAGAAACATGTATGCTACGTTTTGTGTGGCAACTGTTAAATTACTGAAGTAAAAGCTGCCAAGTGCTGATAATTACTGGTGTTATTTTACACAGCTGTCACTGATAAACTCAGTGTATTATTATAGGTAAGGCCAGTAGCAGCATGCTGTTATGTATGTTGCTGGATGCTGCTTTACATAAGATCTTTTTTGGCTACTTACAACTATGATAGATATCAGCCACTCAGAATGAAACTGCGTATGTGAGGTATCACCCTCAGGCAAATTCTCTTTACTTTATTCAAGCTTCAGAGAATATTATGTAATCATTTTAGCAAACAAATTTAGCAGAAAATATTTCAACCTTCCTTCGGAAAGCTCTAGCACTCCCCTTGGTGTCTGAGAGAAGGATGGACCTGTGGCAGCAAAATAGCTTTTGTGTCAGGACAGCACTTTTTCTGTCCTGATTGGAAGGCTATTCCAATATGGACTCTGAAAGTAAGCCTTTAAAAACTTAGAGGACATGCTTGGTCCAGGATTAGCAAGAAAATAATTAATTACTTTCTTTTTGCTGTCAACCTACAAGAATCATATCACCTCTGCTGTTGAGTACTTATGTCATCCCTATATAACAAAGCTGTTCGGATGCACATACTTGAACCTTCACAGGTTTCCCCTTTCGTCTTTTTCCTCTGGTTAGATGACTTCCTCCAGGGCTCCCAGGCTTAAAAGTCAAAGGTCTTGAAATGTGTATGGGCTTTGAGGGTCAAGCCAACATCTCCTTCCTGCTCTGATATTCTTTTTGACTGACGGATAAGCCACCTGAGAGATTTAAGAAATAGCACCTTAATCTCAGATGTTTCATGTCACTTAGCTGGTCCCAAATGTTAGAGTCAGAGTACTGTAGGCTGGAAAGGACCTTTGGAAGTCATCTAGTCCAAGTCACTACTCAAAGCAGAGCTAATCAGATCAGGTTGCTCAAAGACTTGCTTCAATTAAGTCTTGAATGCCTTTAAGAACGGAGAGCTGGGCCATTGTTAAAATATTGGATCACCCTCATGTTAAGAAATCCGTCCCTACTGTCTAATCAGAATTTCCCATGTTCCAGCTTGTCTCTGTTATCTCTTGTCCTATTGCTGTGCACCTCTGAGAAGTGTCTGGCTCCATCTTCTCTCTCTCCTCTGGTCAGGTACTTGTAGAAAGTAATAATGTCTCTCCTGTGCCATATCTTCCCCAGGCTGCACAGACTCAGAACTCTCAGACTGTCCTTATAGGTCCATTGCTACAGCCTCAGACCAGGTTGGTGGCCTCTATTACACTTGATCCAGAACCTCCATGTCCTTCCTATACTGGGGAGCCCAGAACTAGAGAAAGCACTCTGGAGACATCGCACACTTTGCCCCTGAAGAGGGGAAGAAACATTTCGCTGGACCTACTGGCTACACACTTGCTAATGTAGCTCAGCACACAGTTGGCCTTCTTTGTCACAAGGACACAATTCTGGCTTGTGTTCAACCTGTTGTCTACCAGGACAGGTCCTTTCCTGCAGAGTTGCTTGCTAGACTCCAAGCCTATACTGGTGCATGGAGTTATTCCAACCTACATGTAAGTCCTTCCATGTGCTTTTCTTGAACTTCATGAGCTTTCTGTCAGCCCATTTCTCTAGCCTGTCCAGGTCCCTTTGAATGGAAGCCATCCAGAATATTGACTGCTCCCTGCAGTTTAGTGTCAGCCACAAACTTGCTCAGTGTCCACTCCATTCCATCCTCCAGGTCATTAATGAAGACATTAAAACAATATTGGTCCCTGTACTGAGCCCTGAGGAATGCCATTAGCCACCAGCTAGACCAGTATTTTGAGACCAGCAGTCCAGCCAATTCCCTTCCCACATTATCAACCACTTCAACTGGACAAAATCTGCTCTTTGAAGTCCAGGGTTGTAATTCTGCTGTTCGTTGGCTTGCTCACTCCTCTGAGGATCGTAGCATCCACAGTCTCATGGTCACTGCAGTTAAGGCTGCCCTCAATCTTCACATCTTCAGCCATTTCTTCCTTCTTTGTGAGTGGTAGAGAAGACAAAATGTAATCTCCAGTTGATTCATCAACCAGTGTCCAGCAACTATCACTTGCCTTTTCCTCTCAACCCCTTTTTGCCTTCCCCTTCAGGACACAGCTGGCCCTGATGAATCACCTGACAGGTCTTGTTCTTTCTCAATACTGTAGCAGAGGATGCAGGCCCAATGCCCAGAGCTCAAGCCTGGGCTCTGTATGTAAAGGGAATATAGACAAGGGCTGAAGACTGGAGGAGGTGGTGGCAGGTGCCCAATGTAGATTTTTGCCGCACAGGATGCTCCAGAGGGGCGTCTTTTGATTATAAATGAAGCATGGGGGGACTAACCTACTAACTTAGTTAGCCAAGGTAGGTGCCTAAATTTCAGTGCTCAGAATATCTCTTCCAAGGCCACCTGACAGAATATTTGGATTTCTCATTTTCTTTAAAAATATAAATTACTCTGAAAAATCCTACTGAAAATCAAAAAGAATGTTATTAAGATGGGCAATTCAAGCACACAGAAGTTAAAAAATGTCAGAAATAAGGTTGTCTACATAATTGTATTTTTGGCCCTCTCATGTGTACTACTTCCAAAACATCTTCCATTACAAAAGCATCGTTCACTCATATTTTTAACTAAATTTAAGTGACAAATAACAGTGGCTAAGTAAGGTGTGTTCCATAATTCGTTGTCTCTCCAAGAGTAAATGCATTTGCTTTCTGCTGCAGCAGTTGTAACTTAACCTGATGCAGAATAGAGTATTCAGGTTCAAAAAACCCATGGCGTAATTCATGGGCAACAGGTCCAAAACAGACCCCTATATAGCACAGGCGAGCAGTGTAGCCTCTCACATCCCTAACAAAGTGACTGTAGACTCTGAGGAAATAGGAGGTGAACAGAGCTCAGAAAGTGGCCAGGCTTGCAAGCCTTTCCTAATTAGCATCTCCTGCAGGCTCTGTTGAAGACACCGCCAGAGGGTTGGTCTGAACCAGTAGGTCAGTCCTTCTTTTCTTTTGTCAGCTAGCATGTTTGGCTGGATGGTACCAGTAGATGAGGGAGAAGATGACAATGTGTTGCCTCTCTGCTTCCACAGTTGCAGTAAATTGGCTAACACACATAAAGGCAGCTTGTACAAGAAGTCTGCCAGGGCTGTTACCACCTCCAGAACACCACCAGCCTTCTTACCGCTTCTCCTTTTTCAAAGTTACTGTCAACCCATCCTGGACATTAGGAGAAGATGAGAAATTGTGTCCCACAGCTCATGTGACATCACCTATAAACTGCCCTGCCCATGCTGGAGGAATCCCAGTCTCACAGATTAGGGAGTAGGAGACCTTTGCAGGAATGGGGACATACTGTGTGTAGAAATAGAGTAATTTCAAACAGGGACTCTTTTCTAGCAGTTTAAAACTTCAGAGTTGACTTGTGAGGATCTGTAGCATAGCATGGTTGGCCTACATGTGGTATAAGGAAGGAAATAAGGTCCTTGTTCAGTTATCTATCTGTGCTAATTTTCACCTTCCCTCTTTTTCAATGCCTCTGGCACTCCTGGCCCAGGATATGTAGTGTTATAGCATCAGAAGTGTAGTGAAGTACATTATCTAATTAGTAAGTTAATTACAGTGTGAGATGAAATCATTATAAGCCCACTTACCCAAGGGCATATAGTTAACTAAGATATAAACATCTATATAGGCATAAACATGGTAATATTTTAATTTTGCTTAAAATATTCCATTCTCACCTAATCATAAAGTCTGTGCTTGGAGACTGGCATTCAGATTTGTTTGGGGCTTTTCCCTCCTTTTTCTCCATGTGTAGATTTGTGAAACTAACTTGTCAGTAACATAAGCCTAGTAAATTCATTAGTAAACCAGTTAAGCCAGTCTGCACAGACTTTTCTAAACATACCTTTGCACCAAAGGATTTCTCTCAGAGGTGCAGAGAAGGTTGCCTGCAAAAGCTGACTTACTCAGTGTCCGCCAAATGAGGCAGAAGAGCAGAGTGAAGCAAATGAAGGCCCAGTTCCACTCATGGTTTTTCCCCACTGTAGACACTCCCATGAACATGAAAATCAGGGTCTCACTGACGCTGCTCAGCATCTTCATGAAATATTTTATTGTGGTATAGGAATTCTGGGAAACATTCTCCTCCACGTATTTTTTCATTGTCACCGCACATGCTGTCATCCTGTACCAGGCAAAACATCAGAGATCAGCCACAACCTGTTTTTCTTTTAATTTAAGAACAACCTCAGCCTTCATTACCTGCACTTTCCATCACCAGCCTCTGACCTGCCTAATATCAAGAAGCATTTTATTTCTTCAGTAATGTTAGCTATTTCTTTAGATAGAAGAGCATCTTCATTCAGCTTTACAAATCCATTCTGTATATAGGAAAAAGGAAGCAAAACAGTCAGCCTTCCTGACAAGGAAGTGAGGTTATCACGTTCCAGTTCAAAGTCCGTTTTATCCAGAATACCTAACACACAGCCACCAAGCACCAAATATTTGAGTCTCAAACAAAGGGCAGGTCAGTTTTGTACCAGCCTACAGACGGATTGGTTAGAGGGACATAACCTGCCTCTTAGTGTACTTCTCCTTCGAGGTGATGGTGGGAGAACATGGTGCTAGTCCTATGCCGGGGCCAAAGCTCCCGCCGGCTCCCTGCCAGCTGGCTGGCAGATCAGCAGGGCCAGGGTAAGCTTCAGTGACTCTCCACCCACAGCAGCCCATTGCTGTACAGCAGGGAGAAATTCAGTCATCCTACAGAGGTGTCCTTCCCCCCTTTTAGTTACCCAGGGTGTGGGCAATGTGGCTAAGGAAGCAAAGGGATGTTTTCCACCTCTTTGCTGTTAATGAAGGCTAGAGCCTGCTTCAGAGGCATCAGCAGCCACCCAGCACAGACGCTGGTAACAATCACATGGAGCAGTAGTCATTGAGCAGCCCTACTGAAGGGGGTCTCCTCTTCCCCCCTTCATTTTTCATAGTCATAGGTAATAGATAGAGTGCCATGCTAGTAGCATATTCCATCATCTACCTAGTTTCTACTGATATTATTTTAGTCTTTGGGGGCTTCTTGTGACAATATTTTTCCAAACTTGTGAATTCAGAGAACTCTGACTGTTCATTAAATACCCCTTCATCTAGTTTCTGCTCATTTAATTTCCACTGAAGAAATCTCAGGAGTATTCTGGTGGAGCTGAGACATTTAGCAGGTCCAAGGACACTCTAAGACAAGGCCATTAGGCATTAATGTTTAATACTGTTGACTTTTAGAGATACATGCATAATAGACTTTGATGATCCAAGTGAAAAATGAATGAATTCTTCAATAATTCAGAAGGGTGACAATAAGTTCCCATCCCTAAAACAAGCAATAATTTCCTTAATGAAGCAGTAAGAATAATAAATCCCAATTATATTAACGTTCTTTTATTGCTAATAATTTCAGCACTTTAATGAAAATAAGAAGCAAAAGAAATAAAAGAGCTATGTAGTCCAGTGTAATGAATAAGCAGGGAAGCAGTATTTTGGGCAGTGCAGGTAGGAAAGGGTCCATATAGTATTAGTGCTCACTACACAGTAGGTCTAACCCTGCTCGACTAAAGTCTCCAGTCACCTCAATCAGAGCAGGTGTGTTGGATATGCAAAACATAGTACAAGACTTATCTGCTTTTTCTAATTGCTCAGAAAAACGTATCTGCTGTGTAACTCCTTATTTAATATAGTTAAATATTCAAGTATTGCTTCCCACAGTCATCCTGAAAAGGTTGTATTTACAAAGCCAGTTCTGCTCTGAAGCTTAACAAATTGGGGTTGTTCAGCCTGGAGAAGAGAAGGCTCCAGGGAGCCCTTATTGCAACCTTTCAATACTTAAAGGGGGCCTAGAAGAAAGATGGGGACAAACTTTTTAGTAGTACCTGTTGCAACAGGACGAGGAGTAATGGTTTTAAACTAAAATAGGGTAGATTTAGACTAGATATAAGGAAGAAATTTTTTACAATGAGTGTGGTGAAGCACTGGAACAGGTTGCCCAGAGAGGTGGTAGATGCCCCCATCCCTGGAAACATTCAAGGTCAGGTTGGACGGGGCTCTGAGCAACCTGATGTAGTTGAAGATGTCCCTGCTTTTTGCAGGGGGCTTGGACTAGATGACCTTCAAAGGTCCCTTCCAACCCAGACTATTCTGTGATTCTATGAAATCAGGGTTTGACAAGTGGAGGTTATTAAAGGTACCTGTCTGGACATCAACAGCCACGTGCTTGTATTTTTTAAGTTTAACCTGGTTTGTCCTCAATGAAGGGAATTCCTTTCTGGAACACTAGGGCCCACAAGACCCTGCATGCAAGTTCAGAGCCAACACAGGACATGAAAGGCTGCTGCCGCCCACCAGCTGGGTGCTGAGATTGCAGCAGCCAGTAGCACGAGCTGGAGCAATTTAACACCATCAGGTTCCCATTTCTTTACACTTTACCCTGCTGAGGATCTGTTTGGTGTGGTATCTTTGAAATTCTCTTGCCAGCAGTTTTCTCACAAAGCCTCTCACTTTCACCCCTATTCCTTCCTTTCTTTTCTTATTCCTTTCCTGCCACCATCCTCTTTCCTTCCCAAAATACTCACCCTCTCCACATTTACTGCATTCAATAGACCTGTCAGCTTGCTCTCTACAGCAGGCACCCGTGCCATTGCAGCACTTTAAGAAAGCAGTCGCCAGCATTACAGCAGTATCAAGCTATCCTGATCACATCAAAATATGATTGTCAATATCCATATACGTGAGTATATGTATGCATATGTGCTTGCTGTTCTCAGTTGCCTGGTTTTGCCCAGTTTCAGTTCCAGTGATGCTGTTCAAATGAAATGTAGTTCTAGTAAATTGCGTTAGAGCTGGTGTTCACAGCTGTATACAAAAGCAAGAACTTGGATGTTCTTTATTATGTTTTCCATACTCATTACTTTTCATCTCTTTTGTAATCTGATGGTGAGGCTGCTTAGAAATAAATACAGATACACTGATCAAATCATTCTCTCATTCTGCTGATCAGAGATAGCAGCCAGATAGTGGCAGCACTAGTCCCACAGCTTGCAGGATTTTTTCCAATGGGCAAAAAACTAAAAAAATTTCAAAGCAGATATGCATGCACTCCTCAGTAGTACATCTATGCCCACTGACTGTGGGTTTGCTTTTCCTAGTTACCACTGCATTTTACAGATCCCTTAGAAACTGTCCACTGCAGATCTCTAGGCCAGAGACTGAAAATGCCTGTATTGTACCAACCTCAAGCAAATCACCTCCTCAAAACAATGCCACTTCCCTCAGGAGGGCATCCAAAAAGCCAAAAGGGATACTCACGCCAAAATGCCCGAGATGTAAAGGGTTTCAGCTGACAAGTATGACAGGTAGCTGAACATGAAGACCAGCAGGGGTTCAATAGCAGAAATGTTGTGGGTGAATCGAGTCATGAACGCCGAAACAAATCCAAAGACGATGCCAAACAACATACCACCCAGCCCCACCACGAAGAAGCGAGCAAAGCCAGCCAAGACATCGATGGCTTCAATTTCTTCATACTTGTGCATCTGGGTGAAGGCGATGAAGATGTTGTATAGAACCTATGTGTGAAAATAAGGAGACAGCAGTCAGGCGTCTTTCTGAACCTGGCAGGCTTACTCATTTCATGGCATGTGTGTGTGTGTGTATATGCCTGAAACTGCTTTAGAAAGCTTAGCAAAGTAACAGTTGAAATCTCAGCTGGTTCTTAACAAGTCGCAGAGTTAAAGGTCTGTTAAGTGTCCTGAAAAGCAGCAAAAAAAAAGAAAGGTAGATGGTTATGTAATAGGAGTAAAACTCTGGGATAACAAATGCAATTGAAGTAACCACAAAATACTCATGCTTTCTTGTTTTCTGAAGGTAAACTTAACTACTGTTTTTTGTAGCAGATGTTGAAAGCCCAGCTGGGTACCTTACCAACCCCAGGATCTCTCCTCCACTTTCTCTTTCTGACTCAGGAGGGGACAGGGCAGCAACTAAGAATCACACATTTGATTTAAATCCCATTTAGGTTGTCTGTATGATCAGTAGACTGTACACACTTCATTAGATGGACTCTGGAATGTTAAATGTTTTTCAATAGTACTTGACACATAAAAATCATGAAACATCACTGGGAGTAGGAAAGGAAGAAGGGAAGGGAAGGGAAGGGAAGGGAA